ATTGTATAATACACATAGAAATATACTCATAAAAATCGGAATTCGGATCGTAATAGCCAAAAAAGCAAATAACTGTTAAACGAGTACCACAAATACATCGGACACGCATAGCTACGGTACAGGCGAACCGCGCGACGAGCCGTGATGTCGATTAATATTTTCGTAAATTGCCGAGGTACCAATGCACATAGATAGTCATATTGAATGGTTTCTTCATGAGAAATGTCTGTAGAATTCAATCCTTTGTAGCGAATTCCTCTTAGGCAAAAGGATTTTCACATACATACGAAAATAGTACACGCAAAGTACTCGAGCTAGCGCTTTCTCGAACTTCAACAATTATTTACAACTGATAAGAAGTATGAATGCAGACAGTATTTTACATGGATTTATTCAGAAAAGTCTCCTCTATCTTTTGGTTCCAAAATGAACTTCCTCGCTCCCTTAGTTTTCCTGTAATATCTCATTTTTCCTGAAAATCATACATTTTTATGAACTATCATGCAATTTTTCGAGAATCGTACGTGATAGTACAATTCTGTTTCCAGATTCGTGTTCAGCACGAGAATCTCTATAAGAATCACGTGATGAATATTGCAAAATTATTTTTGTGTTGGTTAGTGTTATTGGTATGTGAAAAATATGACATTGAGAACTTCAGTTGTTACGTAAGTTATCACTAATTTCGTTGCTGTTCTATCCTAACTGTTATTTGCTAGTGAGATAGCAAAGTTAACTAGGTTTCCAATTCGTTATGAAATAAGAAAATGAAACATCGTACACGCGATGTATTAGAATCCATAATTCCTACAATATTACATGTTTGACTGTTATCGAAGTTTTGACAGATATACCCAAAGTCCGCCTTCTGCTTCTGTAAGTAAAACGAACGACAGCAGTTTGAAAGGCTGTTTCGTTTTAGGCGACAGTTCCAATTTATAGCCTTTGATCAAGGTAGCCAAACAACATTTCATTTGCATCAGTGCCATTCTCATTCCCACGCACATCCTTGGTCCCTCGCCGAATGGGATGAATACCATTTTGTCAATCTCGTGCTTCCTCTCCTCGCTGAATCGATCTGGATCAAAGGTCTTCGGATCGGACCAATACCTCGGGTCCTCGTGCAGTCCATAAATGGATATGAAAATTTCGATGCCAGGTTTCACGCGACACTTAAGCCCGTCCGATCCTTCCAACGTGCACTCTTCTGTACATACTTTGTACATGTTATTCACTGACGAGTAATATCTTTGCGATTCACTAATTACTTGGTCCATATAAGTCATCTCTTTCACCGCTTCGTACGTTAACACACCTCCGTGTTTTTCCAGGACAGTCTTCACTTCTTCTCGTAGTCTTTCTTGAACATCCTGATGCGTAGCCAGTTGATATCCAATGAAACTGAGAGTAGTGCTTGATGTTTGGAATCCGTCGAGGTAAAACGATAATACATAACCAGCGATAAGATCCAAAGGCAGCTCTTTTCCTTCCTCTTTCTCGAGTTGCACCATTAATTCGAGAAAGTCGTGCCTGGGCGTTGATTCCTTTCGCCTGTACTCCAAATTTTCCTTAACCAGCGTTCTGAACAACTGTTCGACTTCCTTGTTCACGAACTTGAGCTTTGCGAAACGATTCAGACTGGGAAATAGAGTTACAATGTTAAGTAGAAACCTACTGAAGAAATTCGGTTGAAAGAGAGCCAGGCCGATCTGATCGAACGCCAAAGGATCATCTACGTCCCCGAAACAGCGCCCATCGATGCCCACACTAGCGTTCGCCGTAACTTCGCCAGTAAATTTCGCGAACAGACACTTCAGTTCAACTTCGTACTTGTCGTTCGAGCTCAGCCGCCTCTCTAAGTAATCTTGGAATTTCTTGCATACTCCGCTAACTGTCACGAAAAGAGTTTTCAACTTGCTACTTGTAAACGCATTGGTTAATCGCTTCCTTCCAGTTAACCATTTTTCCCCGTGGGCGAAAATTATATTGTGAGCTAACAAGGGATCCGCGTCTTCTTGAAGCTGGAACCCGTTCATAGTAAAATTCGAGAAATTAGTATGTAACACGGACTTCACCAAGTTCGGGTCGCGGATAATTAATGCCGGCACTAATCCTTTGTAAAATCCAACCATGCTGCTATCCTTGTACTGCTCGTACATTTCTTGAATTACTACGGCCGAAGATTTTTCCATGGTTATCGCTGGCAGCATGTGACCAACGATCGGGTACCATCCTTTGGCCGTTGGAATATTATTTCTTTTCCAATACGTGTATGTAAAGAACAAGTACAACGCTAACGTAGCCGTTAAAAGTATAATGAGTGTACATATCATTTTCGACTTGAATGACTAATTGTCTGTGTTGCTGCTGCTGCTGCTACTACGTACGTAGTTCGACTGAAGTAGAGTGGTACTGTGCTGTATTTAAATTCGGATGACGTCGTTCACTAATTAGTAGAAGAGGTGAGGCTAATGGGAGGACAAATATGTCATGTCTACTTATAGATTATACCAATTACCTAATAGCTGTTTCACTGGACGGTGACATTGAAGATAAAAGTTTAAGTCACACGATCAATTGGCTGATAAAAGCAAACACTTTTAGGCATTAATGTAGAAAGAATAATTCGTCGGGACATAATGCAGGAGATAATCTTTTATCTATATAGTTAGTGGAATTGAGTTAAAGAATTGAGAAAAATTTGCACTTTCCTGGCCGAGTATTCAGAAAGCTCATGTGTCAATTATTAATAAGAGTATTTTGCGACAAAGAAGTTGGAGAATCGAACAATATTCGGTGGTAGAGGGGACAGAGAATGCGTAGGGATCCTATTTGAGAACGCTGATACTGATTTACGAGAAATTAAACTATATAAATAGTCACACATCGTTGTGAATTTTGT